CATCCTCATCATCATCATCATCATCATCATCCTCACCATCATCATCATCATCATCGTCATCATCATCATCATCAACATCATCATCATCCTCATCTGCATCATCATCATCATCATCATCATCATCATCATCATCATCATCATCATCATCATCCGCATCATCATCATCATAATCATCACCACCATCATCATCACCAGCCATCATCATCTTCATCATCAGCAGCAGCATCATCATCATGTTTGCTTCGTTCCGCAGGCGACTTGGCTCTGGGCTTCTAGTTGGGCACGGGCGCTTAACCAACTGAGAAGTGGCCCCGCAACAGAGCAGCCGAGCATACATATTGAGGTGGCTGTCGCAGCCATCGTTCTGGTGTGTAGCAGAAAGACAATCATATCAAGGTCGACGATTATACCGACTTGCAGCGGCCGTTGACTTGTTCACCCCGCCTGCGTTATGCCTCATCCTCTCCTTCCACTATATATTTCAGTCATCTGCGTTGATTGGAAATATATGTGTATATATATATATATATATATATGAAACTGTACCGTGTACCTTCTCTTCTACGAGTTTGTTTGTACAGCATACTCGTGAAGCGCGATTGGGCAGTGCATCCTGGTGTGTCGAGCTGGGTACCTTCTCTTCCAGAGTGCGTCTATACCGCGTACTCTTGGAGCGCGATCGGGCCAGAGCGATACCCAATGTGGTTTGGCGTTACGCTTTGTGTGCCCACCGACCCGCAATCTTTTTTCGATGCCCAACACGGTGAGATGGCCTCGTCCTATTCTGTGCAGCGCCTGGGCTCGGCACGTTGTCCAGCCGATACTGGGAAACCTTTCCCATCCAGGCGATGATTATTATTCTGTTGTTGCTCAGTGGGTATGCACAAGGGTCATCATGAATGACGTTCCTGCCTTGTGTGAGGCTCTGTATCATATCTTGCAGGCGATTGTTCCAGATCATCTGCGGGTTGGTCGGTATGGTCACGCGGGTCATCTGGTTCTTGCTCTTCTCGCACGTGGCATGGCACTAGCCCAGCTCCGCACTGCACTAATAGCGCCCAAGTGTCCGCAGTGGGCGAGGCGTGTATTAATGACGTTGCCGAGTGAGACGGCGTTCTGGATTAAGTATGGCACCCTTGAATGGCTTCAGTTCCAGCAGCCGACATTACTACAATCGACAGGGTCTGGTGCTGCAGTGTATGTTCTCTTTGGACACAGTGGCTTGTACACTGGCAAGGCCAACGTTGCTCGGGCTAAAGGACAACCAGGTCTCCCTGAGCGTCGCGCTGAACATTACAAGGCCCTTCTTGGTTTTCATTCACGACGAGATTATGCATTGCCGCGTCACGTATCACTTCGGAGGCCTGTTGGTAGCATTGGTTTCATGCCTGTTGTCTGGTGTCCTGCGGAAGTACAGGCGTTGACTGTTGAGAGAGCGCTCACTCAGATGTTGCGCCTTGGATGCAATGGTGCTGACCTTCGACTTCTTCAGAATGTTCGGCGTCAAGACGTTCGCATACGTCCTGACCGAACTGAGCCGCGGGCGGGACCAGTTCCTCGCGTTCGCTCCAAGGCCACAGGCTCGGCGTGGACAACTACCATGTTTCGGGATGCGTTGCGCAAGAAGCCAGCACGTCCATCTACACATCCGTCAAAGATCCGAGGCAGTTTCAAGAAGTTGTACCTTTTTTCCACGTGCGGTGTATGATCATTTCTACAGGTATTGTTTGGCCATTGAATTTGTTGGAGCGGAACCCTCTCTACCTGAACATGCGGTTGGAATATTGTGCGTCGAAGAATGCTTGTCTCAAGTTCCCTGCGTCGTGGTTGTTGGGGCGAAAAGCCGAGTATGTGTATGAGCGTGCTGGTCATATCAAGATCCGTATGGGTGGTTTCTCATCTCAGTTTGCAGCAAAGTCTTCCCTGACTACACTGTGTCAGCGTCTTAGCCTGCCACCTGTTACGGTCAAGCCCATTGTTATACCTCGCGAGCTCGTTCGACGTCTGCACCTGCTTCGCAGGCTGTTTCAGGTTGCATTACGAGAAGTTCGTTGTGAACCTGCTCGTTGGTGGCTTTGTGAGCATTTGAGTCTTCTGCCAGCGAAAGGTACTGATTGGTTCGACAAGTTTAACGTCAAGCGTGTTTTACGATTGTTCTGCCATGCGGACTTCAGCCGCGCACCACCCGAAGTCATTGGTCGGAGGGCAGTTCAACCGTCGCTGGCGGCGCACTCTGGGCCATGGAAGTTACCTGTGTGGCCTTCCCTTCCACGTCTGCGGCGGATGTTACAAAGCGCATGGAAGACATGAGGTCATCAGCATCGACTGGATCCTCGTGTCCAGCGACGCATTCGTCATGCTCTGGGTTCGGAGGTTCAAGCTCTGCCTGTTCCAGTGCGCCCTGGACCATGGGCGGAGTTGGAAGCCCGTGTTCAGGAGATCATTCGCCTGCGTGGTGCTCTGACGTGGGACGACAAGGATTCCACAAAAGCATGGATCA